AGGACATCTCAACGTCAAGAATTTCTCAGACAGCTAGCTTTAGTGTGCAGCACCTGCTGGAGCAGCACAGTTGCCCGGATTCCGTGTCAACTTGAAACTCCCCAAAGCAAGGAAACTATATGTGCAACATTATATAATGCTACTAAAAATGGGAAATTAAAGATTTTCACGGTTTCTATACAAGCTACCTTGGTTAGAACTTAGAGGTTCATGAACCTTTGATTTTCTGGTTTTTAGATTTCTGTCAATTCAAATGATATTTTGAGTCATGCATGTATGTATATGGTTCATGTCATTTCAAAAAAAAAAAATTTAATAGTTAAAGTATCCCTAAATTAATTTACAAACACCTGAAAATTAATTTCTCTTTCTTCTTATTAGAAGCATATCATTTATGCCAAACAAGGAATCCATGAGGAATATTTACTTTCTCATTGACCTCCCTAGAGAATCAATTTTGGTTAATGAAACGGTAAACAAAAATTATGTTCTAATTAAGTCATTAGTCCTTAAGTATTGTTTGTGTTTAGGAAAGATCTTCTACTTCAAAAGTAGAAACTAGACCTGAAATTAACAACAGGAAGCCATTTAGTATCGCTATTTATGTTGGTTTTCAGTTTTGGTTGTCCAAATATAAACATCTAGAACTAACAACAGGATGCCAAAATTAAAAATTAAAATCGAGACTTGTTACATACGAGATACGACTTTTAAAACTTATAACTAAAATTCAAAATATATTTAATTTATTAAACTTGTTCATTTAATCTAGCCTGGCTAAATTTTCAAGTAGACTCTAGATAAACCTCCCTAGAATTCAAATCTCGATTCATGAATATTGGTTGAGAAAGTAAAGTCATTGTTTTAACTGAGTCTTCGGTTTTTGATCCTCAAAACCGGTTGCAGCATGCATGTGTTCAAATTATTGTTCAAACGCGCCAAGGAAAAATTAATTGGGATTTGTAATTTCTACCTAGTGCTGGTACTTTTCCTGACTTCACAGTTATGTCATTTCTTTGCCAAACACAAGTCGTACTGGAGCAACTAAAGAAAAGTGCAAGCACTTTTACCATGTTGATCTCATAATCTTTGAAATAGGAAGTTAAAGCTGCCTTTATTTGAAGGCATGATCACCCGACCACCATTTACCATTGAATTTGGACATTCTTTGAATTATTTTATGAAGTGAAAACAGAATGGTTGAATAATGTACACTTTGCTTTTGCCATAGTTTCTCTTGATCATCATGCTTTTGTGTCGTAGTCGGTAGTTAAAGTTTTTTGTAAATAAAGAAACCAATGAAGGTATGAAAATGTGAGGATAACTTGACCGACTATATATCTGGGGGAGGACCTAATGAAAAACATTTTTTATGAATCACCTAGTTAATAATGACATTGATGACCATATATTTTGTTTTCGCTTGGACGGTCAGTTACCTTCGAGATAATTTATTTGTATTTTGAGTACGTTTGGTGTAATGACCCAATAAGAGTTAATGGGTATTGAATTATATATTTAATATCTTTTTCATACTTTGTTGATGTGAAATTTCTCTAAGAGTATCACATACACCTACTTTCAGAATTTAACATTCTCATTAAAATTTGTCCTACCATTATTCAAGAAGACATGCAAAGTAGCTCTAATATTATACGTAGCGACTTGGCCTATTATTGATATTGTCTATTTCGGTCCATTAGGTCTCATGATTTTAAAACAAATCAATAGGGATTAACAAGTGTTGCATCATATACTCAGCATCTCTCCACACTTTATCAATGTGAAATTTACTTAAGGATGTCACATTTGATTTGAAGGACAAAAAAGGAATGGGAGGAAAATGAAAGGATACCAGTTCTCTCCTCTCTCCTCCCCTCCTCTAATTTGGATAAGTCTCCCCTCCCTCCCCAAATTTTTACTAACCAAATAAATGAATTTTCACTCCTTCCCTTAAACCAAACATACCATTTTCTTGAGGGGTTTTAAAAACACAACTCTTATAATTAATTAATGACTATTGCAAATTAAATTTTCTTAGATTCTAGCACTAAATTAAATTGAATATTCTAGAATGTGACTTCTTCTTTTTTTAGTATGGGGGAATTTGGAGAAGAGAAGGAGATATTTCGTTACGAGTACTTGGTGGGAATTTCACTCCCACCCTCTTGTGTCCAAACTCAAGTTGAATATGTTAGCGGTGAACCAATTGGCCCATGGGCTTGGTTCGCTAAAATGACTTGAAATCTTCTTGAAAGCTCCTGTTTTGGTGGACCAGACAATATCATCTTGATAACTTCCTTAATTTACCATGTCAGCATAAAACCCTGCACAAAGTATGGGCCCATGATTTATATTTTCCCCCAGAGAAGATAAGCGGGCTGGGTACTGGGTTCGGGACAGAGTCCTAAGCCCATCAAGAGATATACTGGGCTTAAAACATATCATCCATTTATCTTCACTGTGTCTACTGAAAACTCAGAGAAAAAAAATCCACCACTTCCAAATTATTAGTGATGGGCTTACTGTTTGAGGCCCAGAACTCTGGCCCAGCCTTTGAAGTATCATTATTCTTTTTCATTTTGATAGTCACCATTTTTCTCATGTGTGAGTTCCCCCATCCTTTTTCTTTCAAACACAATCCCAAAAAGAGAATTTGTTTTTCAATGTTGTGTTATGCTATAATTATAGCAGTAGATTAGTTTTTTTTTTAATATCTTAAGAATATATAATATGTTAATTAAAATTAATAAAAATATAATAATTAATTAAAAGTAATAAATTTACATTATTACATAAATAATTATGTGAAAAGAGTTTGTGTAAACTATTATCAAACAATCAATAGAAATAAAGCCAGTTGCAGTCGGAACCATAATCCTAAAAAAAATATTAAAAAAATATAAAAATAAATAAAAAAAGGTAAAATCAAAAGAAAGAGGACAGATCAATAGGTCCCGTGTGCATAGAGCACTATTCACTCAATAAATACTACCTAATCTTGTGGTGATAAGTGATAACTATATATTATTTTG